CTCTGCTTACAAATGCCTCTGCTTACACATGCCTCTGCTTACACATGCCTCTGCTTACACATGCCTCTGCTTCCACATGCCTCTGCTAACACATGCCTCTGCTTACCGGGCTCTGATTCTTCTGTTGCAGGTAACCCTGCTTGGCTGGGGGTCACGGACCCATAACGGAATGCAGTTGCTGACACAGCAGCTGACGTGGCAGTTGAGGTGGCAGGAGCGGAGGCCGAAGAGGAGCCAAACTGAATGCCAAGCCGTGATGAGGAGGCGGAGGAGGAGGAGGAGGGAAGAGAAGCAGAGGCAGTGAGGGCGGAGGGGGAGAGATGCCCTTGGAACACACCACCACAGTCAGTACCCATGTAAAACACTTCAGGTGAAACCCCAGGTGAAAATCCCGGTGCTCCACCAGGTTCTTCTTCAGGTGCATTTCCAGGTGCTCCCCGCCACACGGGTGCCGTCCCCATCTGCAGCTCCGAGGGCACCAGAGGCCACTGCGTCAGCATGCGCCAGCTGTCAGGTGAAACGCCAGGTGGGGTGAGGGGGATGACCTCCAAGGGCTGTTGGCAGGGCAGGGCGTGGGGGAAAAAGGGAGATGATGAGTGAGATGGGAGGTGAAGAGAGATAGGGGAGGTGAAGAGCGATAGGGGAGGTGAAGAGAGATAGGGGAGGAGAAGGAAAAGGAGAGAGGGGATGAGAATGGAGACGAGAGGGGGGAGGAGGAGGAAACAAGAGGGGTTGAGAGAAGACTCACACGATCCCATCCCCCCTCGGATCACACGCGCGCACTCACTGTGCCCATCATCCGCACTCACCATGCCCATCATCCGCCTGCTCCATCTCATCAGCCTCCCCCCCGCACTGCCACTCAGCACCTCCTCCCCGCCCCTCTCCCCCGCCCCTCCTGGTCCCACACCACCCCCTCCTCCTCCCCCTGCTCCTCCCCTTCCGCCCCCGCCTGCTTCTCCTCTTGACCCCCCTCCCCCTCCCCCTGCGGCCAGCGACGTCACTCTCCTACCATCCACCGCTCTCCACGCCGCCTTTCCCGGTCCCACCTGGCACGGCTCTCCTCCCACCCGCAAATCCCAGACTGCCACGTGTCCACTCCGTGTCCCCCCTAGGAGCAGGTTCGGGTCGCCGAGTACCCAGAGGATCGTACTTACTCGAGATCCTCTAAACGAGAGCGATTCTAGCGGGGATAACGGCCGTTCCCTCGTCCACACGGCCACACATCCGTTATCGTCACGATCGCTGCTGTCACTATATAGGGTAACGCCACATCGAATGTCTGAAGTGACGGAAAGCCTGCTCGACTGACTGGAATCCCGGGCATTGACGACGTTCAGACGGGATCCGTCAATTGACGGAGGCGGCGCACGGGCCGACGGAATGTGTACAGAAGACGTGTTAACGGTGTCGTAACTGACGGCCAAAAGGCGAGAATCTGACGGATGGGCGTCTAGCCCGGCGGCTGCTGGAGCTGACGGAGCGAACTTCGGTGGTTGAAGCACGGATTCGACCGTTAGTTTTCGCGTCATTCTAATGACGCAAATTGAGGGAGACGTCAAATCTATGTCAAACAAGTATTATTGCCGTAGTCAGTTCTCAACCAAATTATCGATTCTCAACGAGGCAAAGCACTGGGCAGTGGTCTCGAAACCACCAGCAAGACAGGACTCGCTCTTAGGGAGACCGATTAAACGTCAAGACAAGAAGCACCATAGACGAGATCGAGCAGTTACATATGCGCGTCGCGATCCATGCTTGCATACATCGCAAAATTTACCGAACAAATCGTTCATTTGCACCACGATTAGTTTCGCGTCACTCTGATGTGTCGCCGAACTATCGAAGGCCAACAAGGAAGAGCAGCGGACACTGAGAAAAAGGAAGTAGCCGTTCTGGGTACCGTGCTATCGAGGGTATGTCGAAGGCAGGGAGCAGACATGAATCCAAGTGCGTTTGATATGAGCGCGACGCGGTTATCACGCCAGTGATTACGGGTAACTCCGTTGTTGGAAGCTCCATGTGACTGAAGCGAACGAGAGTGAGGAAACAAAAACAAAACACATACAAGAAGACACGCACAAACACATGCACAAAAACAACCACGAAAGAAAAGTACATTCTTTTAACTAGGATGTAATACTTCGAAAATGCAAAACATCAGCAGTATTAGCCGAGCCAAGAAACATACCAGAATATATCTTACCAAGGTTCCCACCTGGGTAGGATGACCCCAATGTTATTTCCTTCTGCTGTGTACTTGATTTGGTCACACCTGCGATATAAGTTTATCTTGAGAACTCTAATAACTTGGAAAAGGATGCCTGTTATTGAAACTTTATCGACATCAGCGTGGTTACCAGGCGCGTCATCTCTGCGCGACGCGCACTCCAACTTGGCCAGGCGACATGCGCCTCGGCGACACCACAATTATTGGAATGGGATGGATGGACGAATTTCTGCTCGCCTTCCTCTTCATCAGAGAACACCCTCCCCTATTTCACGCACCTTCCTTTGGTACCAAACCAGATAGGCCAAGACGTCTAGCCACAGCAGTCATTTCATCGCGAAAAAGGGAAGTGCGAAAAGCAACTCAAAATACACTCTTCCGCAACTATCCCGATATTTTTTGCCCGACACTTTCAATTCAAGGTTTTAGAACTGCATACCGAACGTCACTTGCGAAGCAACTGTTCCGTCATTCTTCCGTCACTAACTGTACACATTGGCGCAACTGACCTGGTATACAGTAAAGCAACTTTCCCGTCAGTTTTGAGCAACCTCTGCGAAAGTGTCAGGACAACGCCACGTGGCGTACGACGTACTGTAGATGAAACTCAAACATGCTGACGTGGATTTATCGTACTCTAGCGACAGCCGTTGGATCTGAGCAATGATTTTGGACCAATCAGAGAGCAGTCTTAGTGTGCGAATCGCGCTGCTATTGGTCGACATTTTTCTATTTAGCGATCGCTACGAAATTGGCATCCGTTTTTTTAGTGTACATAATTGTGCTCTAAAACCTTCTTATTTAAACGTAAAACGGAGGCATACAAAATAAACCAATGCCACTAATCCTAGACCACTGCTAATAAACACAGCTAACCTAGCAAGTAACAGGACCTCACGTGCTGCAGCTGCTTCTGGAGATTGCCTGCAAGAAACACAGTATGGTTAATGATGTTAAACGTGCAATGCCAAAATGCCTGTCCACCCACCAGCCAAACAAACATAATGCTAGTCTGGTTGTCCATAAGCCTGCAACGACAGGTATGCCCAGCAAAACATGCAGAAACACATTGCTGTTACGCATTCTGTAAAAAAAACCAGTGGGGTTAGTGAGCAAATATTCTGATACACACCAGCGACACAAACTTAGCCATAGCACAGGAAGTAGCGGGTGTCATAGCTCATGACGACTGAGACGCCGTTGCAACAGTCTTGGTCGCAACCATAATAAGGGTTTACGACAATCGTGAAACACACCAAAAAAAAAACCATACGAAACACGAAATGCACCTGCTGACATTGGAGACAGGGCGTTACTAGGAAAAGAAGATATTTCAGAACGGCAAACAAGACACGTAGGCCAATACATCTCCTAGACAAGGACGAATACCTCACCAGCGAAACGTATACCTACATCATCAATAAAGTTTGCCGACCAGGCGTTATCGCGACGCTAAGTGCACCCGTGTCCTCCGCGGTAAGGTTGAAAGGCTTTGATCTGCCATGGGAAATGGGCGGTTGCGGTACTAAACAAAACTATTAGCGGAGAACTTCGCGAAGATGGTTCATAAGCACATATCCGAACATGGAACGTGACAACAACATGACAAAATATTAGAGATTCAGAAACCACAAAGATAACAGTGCAGAGAATAGCAGTAAAGACTTACACATTTCGCCTAAGCGAAACGACAGGGAGAACGTAGAAGATCCACACTTCCCTTACTCGACTTAAAGTATATCTGCGAAAATGTCAAACACGAGAGGAGGGGGAGATAGTCTGTAAGTTCATAATAAGGACTTAGTAGGTACAGGAGCAAGGGGGGATCCCCTCTGGATGAGCCTGTCACATCTGAACTTTGCTGCTAGTCAAAATTATTTTTTGGCACACACGTCACACCTCTGAACAAACCAGCCAGCGTTTGTGGGTTGGGTTGGGTTGGGTGGGAACCCTGGGTTCAGATTTGGGAAAAACACGAAAACGAGGTATCCACTTGTGCAACCTCGCTGGAATTCGTGGGGTCTTTCTGTTTCGTGAATGTTGTTGTTACCCTGGTCATTGTCAATATTAATCCGCCGAACTGCTTTCAACCTTTCTTGAACGTGCGAAACCGAGTTCAGCGAAAATGTTGACGGAAAAGCAACTTTGAGTTGACATTTTCCCGCAGGTTTTCGCATTCTCAACTGGTGTACAGAAACTTGCGTTTCGCGTGCGTTATTTTTTGGAAACTGTGCGCAACTTGGCCGCAAGGAGCACGCAGAAAAACCTTCGGAGGTCCAAAATCGCAATTTCCCTTTTTCGCGAAGTTATTTCCTCACCCACGACGTCTTTCGAGACGCATGTACACAGTGAGAGCACGGGGCGAACTACCCGCCAGCCAGGTAGAAAAAACCGCTCGCCATTTCCATTATCACAGCGTACCCCACCAGCACCAGCGTGCTTGCATATCTACGCGCCACTCACGCCAGGATCGTGAATTTTGGGAACATCGTACTATTCAAAATTAACGTCTTGCGCGGTCTCCCTGCTTAGCTTGAATTAGGCTAAATCAGCTTGCCGCGAATCACGGTCAACGGCACGATGTCTACCGCCCATCGTCTCCTCCTCGCCCTGTTGCTCCTCGCTGCCACGTGCAATGCCTCTCTATCCGACGTAAGTACCAGATGAATCAGCTTGACGCGGTAGCCATACTGAACCGCGATGTGCACATGAATCACGGGAGTGTATCATACGGTACTACCTCGTTCGCTCCGTGTTTCCCCGCCCACAGATGTCCAGCCTAGAACTGTGCCAAGCGGCAGTGGTGACGGCGCCAGTGGCGGCGGGGGTGGCGGCGGTCTTTATATCGTGCGCCTCCGCTCCGCGCTCCCCCTCGCCGCGTATCGCGGAGCCGACGCCAGCTTTCCCGGCTGGGCGGACGACAACGACGACGACGAGAATAACGACAACGCTGCCCGTCCGGCGGGCCTGATGGCGACGGCAGAGGCGGTGGACGAAGAGGTGACGGCGACGGGTGGCAGAGTGCCGCGCCGCGCGAGGCTCAGCAAGAACAACCCGCAGGTTAAGGCGTACGCGCAGATGCTCGAGTCGCAGCAGACGCAGATCGCGTCGGAAGTCGGTGTGGGGACGGACAAGATGGCGTACAGGTGAGACACGCACTGCCTCAGCCTGTCACTGAATCCTGTTGGAAACTCAGAAAAACGAACATTGTCAGGAACGAATGCATTCGCGAGTGAGATTCGGGTTTCAGCCTTGTACTGACTTCTGGCAGCCACACGAACTGAAATCTGCAGTGGAAAAGCGGGAGTGAGACTCGAATGTCGAGCTTGCTGGCTGATTTTCGACTCCGCTATATCAGCCCAAATAACAATTTCAGCTCTCAGGCTTATTTCCTGTTTTCAGACCCAAAGCCATTTCTGAGTCAACTCGAATATCCTTTCTTACTCGTCCAATGGCTTCGCAGCGGAGCCTGTTCCCAACCCCCATTTCCCCCGGCCTTCCCTCTTTCCCGCAGCGCAGCTACAAGTATTCGTCCAACGGCTTCTCGGCGAAGCAGCTGCGAGTAGTCAACGTGCAACCCCTCTTCACGCTCCATCACCTCCTCGCCTTCTCTCCCGCCACCCCTTTCCCCCCGCGCAGCTACAAGTATTCGTCCAACGGCTTCTCGGCGGAGCTCACGGTGGAGCAGCTGCGGCGGCTGAAGCGCCACCCCGCCGTGGCGTCCGTGCGGCCGAGCGCGCGCAAGCGCCTCTTCACCACCGAGTCGCCCACCTTCCTCGGAATGAACAGCGCCGGGTCGCTCTGGCCCGCGAATGGCGGGCAGGCGAAGGCGGGCGACGGCACGGTGGTCGCAATCGTCGACACGGGCATCTGGCCGGAACACCCGTCGTTCAGCGACGCGGGATTCTCCTCGTCGCGGCCCGCTGGATGGTTGGGTAAATGCGACTCGACGAAGATTTCAAATGCAACAACAAGCTCATCGGAGCGCGCGCGTTTTATAAGGCGTATAAAAGCGCCAACGGGCTGGATCTCACCGGGGATTGGCTGTCTCCGCGAGACGCCAAGGGCCACGGCACGTGGTGTGCGGGGAGAGTCGGTTCACTCGCATTCACTCGCATTCACTCGCATTCACTCACATTCACTCGCATTCAGTCGCATTCACTGCCTGCGTGTCTCAGATATCTGCCCACGCTCACTGGCATTCAAGCTACCCAGTCTCCCTATCTCTTCGCAACTCATGTATCCACCTCATAATCCACCCCTCATGCATTCCCCTCTCCCATGAATCCCCCCCGGCGGGCCCCCTAATCCGTTCCCCCTCCCCACCACCCCGCCCTCCACGCATTCCCCCCCCCCTTCTGCCCTTGGCAGCGCGGCAGCGGGCAACAAGGGAGTGCCCATGGCGGGCGGCAAGGCGAGCGGCATGGCGCCAGCAGCGCGCCTCGTGGCCTACAAGGTCTTTTGGTCGAACGGCGAGGACATGTGGGCGGAGGAGGCGGACATCATCGCAGCCGTTAATCAGGGCGTGGCGGACGGTGTGGATGTGATCTCGCTCTCCCTGGGCGCCGTGAACCCCGAAGACACCTACTTTGACGACATCGCCTTCCTCAACGCCAACCTGGTGTGCCTCTCCTGAAGCACTCGCTCTTACTTGCACCACTCTTCAAGAAGTCGCTCTCTCGCTTGCTCCTTGCTTCCTCTTTCCTCTCCCCCGGGGATACCGCTACTCCCTCGCCCCATTGTCCCCTGCTGCTCGTTTGTCAACGTGCTGCTCCTCCCTCTCCTAAACCCTCACTGCTTATCTGCTGCTCTCCTCTCCTCTCCTCTCCTCTCCTTTCCTCTCCTCTCCATTCCTCCCTCCTTCCCAATGGTCAGGCGGGAGTGGTCGTGACCTTTGCGGCGGGAAACGACGGTCCCCCCCAAGGATACCGCTCGCTCGACAACTACGCGCCCTTCTACCTCACAGTGGGCGCCAGGTGAGGCTACTGCATGGAAGCAAGGTGAGCCCTACACAACTACCAACACAACTACCAACACAACTACCAACACAACTACCAACACAACTACCAACACAACTACCAACACAACTACCAACACAACTACCAACACAACTACCAACACAACTACCAACACAACTACCAACACAACTACCAACACAACTACCAACACAACTACCAACACAACTACCAACACAACTACCAACACAACTACCAACACAACTACCTACACAACTACCTACACAACTACCAACACAACTATGCGCTCTTCTATCTCACAGTCAGCGCCAGGTGACGCCACTGCCTCACAGTGGGCGCCAGGTGAGGCCACTACCTCACAGTCTGACTCACTTAGCCTGCTGCCTCGCTGGACCTACCTGTACCTCCATCATCACACTTCCCTCTTGTTTGACTCTCATGCGGGTATGCGAAGCACAAAGGTCGGGACGTTTTCATTGCTTCCCTCCCTCCACTCCCCTATCTTTCCTTATCACTACCACCATCCTCGCCCCGTTCCTCCCCAACATCACCCCATCTCCCTGCCCCACCCCCCACTCCTCCCCTCCCCCAGCACCATCGCCCGGGGCGGCCTCACTCTCGCCAGGTCAGCAAGCAAATCCAGGTCAGCATCATCCACCAATCAGACATCAACCTCCTCCACCTCCTCCGCTACACCCTCAGCTGGCGATTCCGCCCCCACCGTGGCCGATTTCTCCTCCACAGGCCCCCTCGTCTTCCCGGCATCGGCACAGGCAACGGCCTGGCCACCGATTCAATCTTAAAGCCCGACATTCTCGGCCCGGGCGTGGATCTCTACGCTGCAGCCCCGGGCAGCCGCGTGGGCGACAAGGGCGGGTCGGCGCAGCTGTCCGGAACGTCCATGGCGACGCCGCACCTGGCGGGGATCGCTGCGCTGGTGATGCAGAAGTACCCTTCTTGGAGCCCCGCGCAGGTCATGTCTGCTATCATGACCACCGCCACCACCAAGGATGTTTATGGTGCTGCCATCTCTACCGCCTATGGGAAAGCTGCTACGCCGTGGGATATGGGCGCGGGGCATGTGTTCCCGCCCAGGGTTCTGGACCCCGGGCTGACGTATGACGCTCGGAAGAGCGCGTATTTGAATTTCCTGGCTGGGCTGGACATGCAGAGGACCCAGTCAGAGTACCCGAATGAAAAGCTCACCTCTGTGCCGCCCAGAGAGCTCAACCGGCCGACCATCGCACTTGCCGGCCTCAAAGGCTCGACCACAGTCACACGCACGGTCACCTGTGTGGCTGACTCCGCCTCCACTTACTCTGCCAAGATTCAGAAGCCTAAGGGGGTGGAGGTGACTGTGAAGCCCAGCAGCTTCGCCATCTCGCCTGGTCAGAAGGTCAGCTACGTGGTGACCTTCAAGGTGACTAAAGCCTCGAAGAATTTTCAGTATGGGAGCCTCACTTGGGTGGACGAGAAGGGTCACTCTGTGCGGTCGGCCATTGCCGTCAAGCCTGTCAGAAAGTGAGTGAGAAGCAGCATAGTTGAGGTGAATAAGTATGGGAATAATGATGGACCAACCATATGGTTGTGGTCTGTAGTGGCATATGCGCTTGCTTAATAAAAATGCAGGGTGTACATAGCCACCATGGGATGTTGCATCACTGATGTCACTTGCCCAGGTAGCGTCGGTGAAGCACGAGAGGTACAAGTGTCCACGCCTTGCAGGTGCACCGGTCTTCGTGCTCACCTCCTCCACTCCCTTTTGCTTCAGCTGCCCATGCACTGAATATTGCAGCCCCACCCTTGAGGTTGCCATGCAGTACCTCACCAGCCTCTCTGCTGCATCAAGGTGCTCTTGAAGGGGCCTAGACACCACACGAGCCAGCTGCGAAACCGCGAACGAAATATCGGGGCGAGTGTTGACCGAAGCATACATCAAGCTCCCCACCATTGACTGGAACCGACGCTGCAACTCGGGCTCCAACACCTCACCCTCCTCTTCATCAAGGTGTAGCTGAAACCTTGAAGGTAGAGGAGTCTTCACACTCCTCCCTTCCTCCAGCCCATACCTCTCCCCCATGGCTGCAAGGTACTTGTGTTGGTGAAGCCTCAACCATCCCTTCACCTCGTCCCGCTCCACATGAAGACCAAGGTAATACCCCACTGGTCCAAGGGCCTTGCATTGAAAGGTCTCCTTCAGCTTCCCTTGCACCTCCTTGATCCTCTCCAGGGATGGAGAGAAAAGGAGAATGTCATCGACGTAGACAAGAAGAAACACCTTCTCCTCCTCCCCCTCGGTCATGAAGAGACTCTCGTCGCACCCGCTGACTTTGAAGCCAAGAGCCTCCAACGCCTCCACCAGCCTTGCATACCAGCACCTTGGAGCTTGTTTGAGGCCATAGAGGGCCTTGTTGAGCCTGCAAACACGTCCGCTCCCATCGTCATACCCCTCTGGCTGCTTCATGTAGATCTCCTCATCTACCACACCATAGAAGAACGCCGTCTTCACATCCATTTGCTCCACCTTCCAACCACAAACAGCAGCGGCTGCTAGCAACACCCGGAGCGTAGGAGCCTTGGCTACAGGAGCAAACACCTCCTTAAAGTCAACCCCCTCCCTCTGCTGGAAGCCCTTGATCACAAGTCTTGTTTTGCGCCTCTCCAACTTCCCCTCCGCATCGGTCTTCACACGTAATATCCACGTGCAGTCCAATGCCTTTCTTCCCGGGGGCAGATTGGTGAGGGTCCACGTTCCATTCTCCATGAGGCTCTGAAACTCATCCTCCCTTGAAGCCAACCAAGCCTCTCGATCATCTCCAGCGAGAGCTTCCTCCATTGACGCCGGCTCATGAGGTAAGTTGACACCAAAACAACAAATCTGCTCCATCTCCTCCTCAGCTCCTTTTTCCTCCTCATCTTCCTCCTCCTGGACCAGCAATGCCTTGGGACCCCCAAGCCTTTCATACTTGAGAAAATCCCTTGGGTGAGTAGCTCTTTTGGGCCTCTCCTTGGCTGCTCCATCCCTAGCTCCACCATGGACAACACCACGCTTCCCTTGGGTTGTGCGCCTTGGTGGAAGTGTAGGGGATGGTGTAGGCTGCTGCACCTCCTCCTCGGCATCACCTCTCTCAGCTACAGGGGCATTCTCTTGCTGCAACACTCCCTCCACCTCTGCTGCCTCCCCTTCAGCACCTCCCAAGTCATGTGACACCTCCGTTACCTCTGAAGATGAAGACAACTCAATTGGAATGAGGAGTGGGTCATTCGTTCCCACCTCTATTCCGAGCGGAATGGTGACCTTGCTCCTCCCTCGCTCCAACCACTCCTTGAACATGAGCCCCTCCATGAACTTGGCATCTCTGGTGGTGAAGATGGTGTTGGCTTTTGGGTCCCACATGAGCCACCCCTTGCTCCCTTGTGCAAGTCCCAAATGAACAGCCCACACCGCCGCCGCTTGAAGCTTGTCACGCTTCTCCTTAGGGACGTGCACGAGTCCCATGCACCCGAAGACTCGAAGCATATCCACCAGGGGCTTCTTGCCTCTCCACTTCTCCATAGGGACCCAATGCTGCCCTCCCACATGAGTCAATACTCGGTTCTTGTGGCATGGCGAATAGCGAGGGGCCAGAACCGTAAGGGTAGACCCGAGTCTACCAACATCGTTCTCCCACCCTCCATGATGGTCCGGTTCGCTCTCTCTGCCACGCCATTGGATTGAGGAGTGTAGGCCGTGGTGAGCTGCTGCTTGATGCCGTGCCGCTTCAGCCAGCTCCGGAACTCCGCTCCCAAGAACTCCCCACCACGGTCGCTACGAATCGCCTTCACCCGCTTGCCGCTCTCTCGCTTCACCAAGGGCAGCCACTCTTCAATGATGACCCTTGCAGCATCACTCTTCTTTGCAAGTGGAAAGGACCAGGTGAGCCTTGTGTTGTCATCCACCATGGTCATGGAATACAGGGCCCCACCATCTCCCTTCACCTTCATGGGTCCCACGAGATCCACATGCACGAGCTCCACCGGGTCACTCGACTTCCCCTCCACCGAATGGAAGGGAAACCGTGAAAACTTGCTGGTCAAGCAAGTCTCACAAGATCCCACCTCCTTGGGCTCCCCCTTTATCCTCAGCCCCTTGACTCTTTCCTCCTTGAACAGCTGCTGCAACTGAGGTAGCGCCACGTGGCCAAAGCGACGGTGTGCGGTGAGCCAATCCGTCTCACCCGTGCTAGGAGTTACACTTGGTAGCTCAGCCCCTCCATGCCCAAGGGGCCCACCATCACTATCATCACCTCCTCCATTGTCCACGTGGTTAACATGCCCTCCTCTCACATCTCCAGCAGCCAAGCGCGCAGCCGCCTCCTTCCATGGCAGCACCGGTATCTCCCACATGGACCGGTGCATGTCCTTGCCGCCTCGGAGGTCCCACAACACGCGCCCATCCAGAGTTGCCTTGAAAACCTTTGTGCCCAACATCTCCATCTTCATCCCTGCCTCACTCAGAGCCTCGGTAGAGAGTAGGTTGGCACACAATCCAGGAACAAGGAGAACACGCTTCAGCCCCACAAGCCTCCCATCCGCACCCATGAACATGGCTCTCCCCTCGCCACGCACGGGTACAACTTGGCCGGTGGCTGAAACGACGGTGGCTGCCTTTGATGGCCTGACTTCATCCAGTAGATCCTCTCGGTTGGTCATGGTCATGAAGGCTCCCGTGTCGATGACCCAATGGGAGGAGCGGTGAAGAGCAACCTTGCTGGCCGGCACAACCATGTCCTCGGAGCACGCCTCTCCTACATGGTAGAACATGCCGCCGTATCCGCCAGCACCTCCATCGCCCTCCTCACTGCCCATGCCTTCTCCCATAGCTCCATGAACACCCTTGGAGCCCTCAAGTGATGGCTGACCAGGCCTCCAACCGTCAGGTAGCTTGCGGCACTTGAACCATGGGTGACCTTCCACATGGCAATACCAACACTTGCCGCCACAATCGCTTGCCTCCCTTGTTGCCACGCTTCCCTCCCGAATGCTGCTCCCCTCCAGAGCCTTCCTTGGCCTTGCCTTTCTTGCTGCCACGCCCCTTGAAGCCCTTCATGCCGTAGGCTGAACCTCCACCTTCACCGGCAGCGGCGGTCAGCTCCTTCCTCCGAAACTCCTCTTGAAGAACTTGCGCGCGAATCCACTCAAGGGACCACGAGTCCTTCATGCCATTAAGGTTGACCACCAAGGGCCCCCACGACTCCGGCAGCAGGGAGAGAGCCTTGTAGCACTTGATTTTCTCAGGGTAGTCCACACCAGCAGCAGAGAGCTTCACATAGAGGTCCCGGAGTTGATCGAACGCTCCTTGTACGGCATCACCCTCGTTGATCTTCACCGCATGGAGTTGTCGCTCGAGCACCACCACCATTGCTTCGCTGCTGGGGGCATGGACATCCTTCAATATCTTCCATGCCTTAGGACCACACTCAACTTCCTTGATGAGATGCTTGATGTGGTGCAGCTGGTTGGATGAGAGGCATTGGGAGAGAAGGAAGAATCCATCCTTGGACCGGCGATCCCATTCCTTGGTCGCTCCTTCGCTCGCAGGCCTCTTCAATTCTCCATCCATCACTTCAAGCAGCCCATAATGGTTGAAGAGGAGCTCCATCCTGAAGCTCCATGATGCCCAATCCTCCCCAGAGAACTTCTCCAGGTTGAATGCCTTCACATCATCCTTACCTAATGTTGAAACGGAAGCCATTGGTGCAGATCCGCCTGCAACGCCTCTTCCCGCTTCCCCAGCGCCTCTCACGCCACCACTGCCACTAGGACCAGCTGGAGCAGAACCTTCAGCCTCCATATTCACCCACGAACAGAGTAGAACAGCTCTGATACCACTTGTTATAGTCTAGAGTCCACTTAGTGGTCGCGGATGCCCATGAAACCGCCTAAGCAGAATCTGACGACTTCAAACCGCCTCTGTTCGAAACGCCGTCACGATCAGCTCCGATAACATACGAGGCTGAAACTTGGACAGCAGTTAGCCTTAGGTGTCTGCTTTCCAACGGTATATTGCTTGCTTTCATCAGAGGTGTGTGCGCTACGCAGTGAACGAAATCGTAAGCTCGGCTGAAAACGTGTAGTTTCATTGATGCAAGGAAGGGGGTAAGTACAACATTGCCTAGGGGACTCTTAAGGGGTTGGGATCATCCTAGGAACTCAGAGAAGGTTGAGTCCTAGGGGAGAAAGGCTAGAGAAGGATGAGAAACGTCCTAGCTAGGTCAGCAAAGCCAACCACACTTGGAAGTTCAGAGCTGTACTCAAGGCAACCAATAGTGAGGAAGCAAACCATGAGTCAGCTTGTCTTCCCACTTGCACCCTCTTGCAAGCTGCTTCTAGGAAGACCACACTTCTCAAAAGGAGGGTGGTAGAGTCCCACTTGACCACCTGTACTTCTTGTCTCATTCTCTGTCCCTGCACCATTGGCATGACAACAATGAAAGGGTGGCAAGGGAAATGCTGCCAACAGTGCACCATGACTACGGAACAGTG